AAAGACATATAGAAGCCATAAGTGAGAGCACTTCTGAAAATCTGGTAAATGACACCAGGATTTCCTGAAATAAAGGTGAAATCAGAAAGCTACTTCATTTCTCTAAGCTAAAGCCCATCCCTGTACCTACTGTAAACATATTTTCTTTCTGCTTGCACGCGTGTGTGTGCGCATGTGTAATGTTCTGAATCATCAGCGTGGGTACACTGATGACTACAAGCTCTTAGAGAAGTATAGCCTGCAGTAGATATGAAACTTACTGTATTTCTTCACTGGCAGTTTTAATGTTTTCAACAGTTTTAAAATATGTAGCTTTGCAAAACAGATATTTCATATCAGAATGTATCAGCAAACAAGAGAGTCATATAATTAAAGATGTTTTCTTGTAACTCTACAGTGCAATGAGTATTTATAGAGAGTATACCAGGACACTCATTCATACAAGTTTTTTAACCAAATTCCAGAAACAATTCAGAATTAGGGCCAGCTGTCCTCAAAATGTTCTGTCTTGGTCTGAATAAGTCAGCATTTCTGACACAACCTACTGAGAATTATGAATAATCTATAAAGATTTCTTGCTGCAGTTTTTGCAGAACTTAAGCACCTTACTCATTTATGCAGCTTTTCAATTAAAAACACAGATTCATAATGTTAACCTTAATTTCCAAGTAGCTTCAGACTAATGATAATCAGTAGCATAAGTACATAATTATGGTTCGTAGATGGTACTGCATGTAACACCAGGTCTACATCATTTGCAACAGTGTCCTTTTAGTATGTCAAGTTTAATAAGTTTAATATTCCAATTGAGAGGAAAACATGATAATTGTTGTGTGTACTTATAAATTCTTTCCTCTCTTTCAAACCTTCAGGTTTTCAAAACTTTCACTTAGGAGTGGATTCATTCACACACAGTGTAAATTTTTAACTATTCAAGTATATTTTGACCATGAGGATTAAGAGGAACAAATATGCCAAAGAAAAAAACCAACATATCATTCTAATTTACTCCCATCATTATATTTTATTCTCAGAAGAGTTTTCTTCATGATGGAAAACTACTATATTAAAGCATATACAAGTGTACCATGTATTTACATGTGCCTGTGTGTATACATCTACATATACATCTACACACATATACATACATACATTCACCACAAATTCTCCTACTCTCTTCTAAACACTTATAAATAGGCTAAATACACAGGCTCCAACTAATTAATAATATATAATAATATTCATTAGTATAGCCTTGACTGTTACATGTTTGATATGGTGGCTGGGTCACAGTGTTCTTCTGAGACAAATCTTTCCTATATCATAAACCAATGGATATAATGGTCTGATACAGAAGAAATTCAACTTCTAGTTCCAGAGAACACATCCTCCAATATGTAACTACTCACATTAGCATGGGTGGAAGCTTTAGACCTTCAAAATAACCTAATTCTTGCCAAAGGGAGGAGACTACTGGGAGTATCAGAAGTGCCACATACCTTAAACCCACATACCTTAAACTGGTGACCTCCCTTTTACGTCAAGATGCCTTTTCTCATAGCAACGCTTTATAATTTACATACCACCCTCCTCTGTAGTCTATAACAAGCAAAACTAGATCCTACAGCACTAAATGTCATTGTTTCTTATTAGCAACACCCATGGCCTCTATAGCTAGGGAATCCCATACCAGAAGGGCTTCATCCGGCACGCTGGGCGAGGGTTCTGCAGAAACTGTCCGAATGGTGCTGACTCCTGTTAGGGAAACGTTTGATAGGCGCCTCTTCCGTACACCACTGCAGTTGTTAGGGATTTTAAATGCACATCTCTTATGGTAATTTAGACCACATCCTGAAAAGAGAAATTTAAACCCATCTATTTATGGTTTATTACTGGAAAAAGCAAAGAACTATTGTTTTTTTTCAAAAACAACAAGAATTCAAACCCACCACCCTTATTTTTCATTAAACTTTCTTCCTCTACTCTGCTGGTTTAGCTCCTGTATTCTACAAATTTTAGAGAGATGATATTATAAGCTCCAAACAGTTATATCTATAACCAGTGGTTTTTTTCTTTGATTTTTCAAAAATCTATGGTCTAAAACTGCCGGAAATTTCTGGGATCAGCACTTGGGAGGTAAGGTAGTCTTTCATTGAAAATGGTATATTCCATTGGATACAGTCTGCCAGGAGTCAAACAGTTGAGGCAAAATGAAAAAAGATATTACAACCTCATATGGACTGACAGTAATTTCAGTTAAATGATCTGAATCAATGTGATATAGAATGAGGTACAGGCTCAGGTTCACAAGGGAAGTGTAATATACAGAAAATCTTTCCTTAAAAATACATATAGACCAATTTTTTTGCACTTTAGATTACAGAGTCATATCTAGGAGGCCTCAGAGCAGTCAAAAGGATTAGTTCTTTAATCAGTTAATTATTTTGATAGTTCTTACTGTCTCTGCCTACTGTAATTTTCTGCTGATGCCTAACCAATGTAAAAGCAGCATCAGAGACAACATGTATAAGTGGAATGGACAGGTCTCTTCCCGAGACTGAAAAATCACATCTGATGGCAGCTTACCTTCACATTTGAGTCCCTGACGCACCAGCCCCCACAGCATTTCTCCACAATGGTCACAGAAGGCTGGCGCTCGATACGAATGAACAAAAAGAGCATGGGGCCGGATTTGAAAGTCTTCAAAGGTAGCAGAAGCTGTAACAATAAGATCATTCCAAGAATTAGTAAAATTAGTTACATAACTAGTATGCCTCGTTTATGCGGTCTTTCATCGCAGAACAAAGCAGAACTCCTTTTGGTCACTCTGACGATGAACTTTGAATTTTCTATTGGTCATTGTACTATATTTTGAAGAGAAAAAGATTGATGATATACCTTCATACTACAACGACCATTGGAAAAACAATAAAGCTGCTTTTACAAACTTGCAGCAATAGCTTATCTAACAATATTTTTCCAATAAAACACAGGGGGATAATAACATATCGACCATTTATCAGAAATTGCTGGAGTACAATCAAATGCTGGAAATTTTTCAAAATACTCTTTTACAGACTTGACTCGCTACACTTGAAGGTATACATACATAAGATAAACTGAACACATCCAGTAAAGAAACATTATTTTTTTAGACACGTAAAGGAAAATGTGTCAAAAATGGGCCATTTCAGCTAACCATTTGGTGTATCTCATTCAGTGACCTGTATTGATATTGGTGAACTGATCACTCAAGTTGAAAATATACATTAGAGTTTAAACAAGAAAACATGTCATTATACATTCAATCATCAATAAAGACAAAAACCTTGTAGAGCAGTCTGAAAGACTGCTGTACATTTCTTGAAGCACCAATCCTTTCAAAGTGATGCGAGCCTGCAACTAGTCTAACAGTTGCAAAAGTTACAGGGGCTAGTCACAGGCACTAATTTAAGCTATAAAAATAAACAATGACAGTGTTTTAAAAACTATTTAGTATACAGAGGTAGCCAGAACCACAATACTTTAAAAAAAAAAAATCCACTTTAACAAATTGTTTTCTTTTTCTTAATAAGTATGTTAAACATATATCAGATAGTCTAAGGAAAAATAATATCTGTCAAAAGTTGTTAAACATTAAGCACATATGCAAACATTTGATCTCATTCCGACTGCCATTTAAACAGGTGATTTAAGTGTGTGCTTACTCTTCACAGATATCAGTATGAATGAACCAGGTATGTAGCCACTTAACAGAAATGCTTTGTCTCTGAACAGAAATACACTCCCGATTTGCAATCAAGTAAACAAAAACCCCTCCATATTTTTTAACGGGTCTGTTCAAATAAATTTCTAAAAGATCTAAATACCCTTAAGGCCCTGGCTTGATCCTTGTGTATTAATGAAAATAAGATGACAAATCTGCATACCAACCAAGAAAGGGTTTTTAACTAATTAGAGCAGAGTACCAATAAAGATCTCTGCCCTGGATTCAGATCCTTCTGTGCATAAAACTGCTATTCTTGGGAAAAACTTTTCCAAAAATGTCCACAAAAAACCATGACGAGCTATTTCTAGTCTCAACCAATTCCCAGCCTAGGGATCTTTTAACAGAGATCTTTGGAATACCAACACAAAAGCAGGATCCAATGACTCCGATGACATCAAATCTTCTTTTTCTACTTTTTTATTAAAACAATCCAAATCACCTAACAGTTTGTTTAATTCACCATTTCATATTCTTTTCCTAGAACTATTCTGTGCCTGGTTTTCATAATAAGCTATGTTCAAAAGTTTACTTAATTCATAAAATTAGGCCTAGATGATCTCTAGAGGTCCTTTCCAACCCCTACTAATCTGTGAATCTGTGACTTCATAACCCAGTCCAACATTAGCACTTCCAATTCAGAAATAGAATAGTTTTGCAGTTATTTAACAGTGCTAGGCCAGGCATTTTTTTCAGGGCTTCTAATCACATAAGGATACTTGTTTGAGTATGTTAATTTTCAGGTTTTGTCCAGACCAAAGCGGTCAAGTTCACTGTTAAGGCAAGGCTCACTCTGTAATGGCAATCCTGTCCTTGGTATATTAGAAAACACAACTCATCAGAACATATTTTAGATGTTTAATACAATTCTTGTGATTTTACTTTCTCTAGGACTCAAAGTCAACTGCCTTTTCTGTTCCTACAGCCAGATGTTCTCCTACAACTCTGACCAAAACAAAAAATACACTGGAAGATCAAGCACTCAAACTTTAAAATATATTTTGATGTCATTTAAAATATAAAAACATGTCTTTATTTGTCACTTGTACCTTGTGTTAGTTTTGCACGGCAAGGTTTTGGTAGCGGGGG